AGGGTAGGGGCACACATTATCAATATCAATCAAATTTTATTCTATATCCCACATTCACAAATCACAGTTTGTCTCATAAGGCCTAACAAGGTGCAACATCCTTTGCCCTCAACCCTCAACAGTAAGGACAAACTACCAAAACAACCCATTTAACAAAGGGAAATACTTTTTTAAACCTCAGAGAGTCACATGTGAGGGATCCCTCTCCCAGGACAGAAATAAGTGCAATAGATGCTGCCATATATCACAAAATGCCCACATAATGAAGCGGCTTCCACACTCTTGTACATAATTTAGAGTGAACTGCTTTGAATAAAGAAGGTCCTGTACACTTTTGCCTAAATTCGTTAATATATTCAACCATAAAGTTGCAGTGACTAATTTTAAATCATACTAATCGGTTCAAAGGTTGATGTAGAGGTCCATGCGAGCATTATGTCAATAACGTTTTTGTGTTTCTCTGTCCAGCCCAGGCTAAGGAGGCAGACTGTGCTCGGGTAAACCATCAGCATCACGTGTACTCTTGCTTCAACACTGACCTTAGGCAAACACACCAGCTTCATTCATGAGGGAACAATTGTAGAGCACACATACACACAGTGAATGGCGTGTGGTGGAGGTACGTAGCAGCGCACCACGATGAGTAAATAATTCACACTCTTAACGAGTACTTCACTTGCAGCTTCAAAGGGATTTCAACACAAACTATTTAACATTCTACAGCACTGCATGTATCTGGGTCTCCATTTACATATCTGAATAATGAACTGGCTACAGTGTCTAATGAAATCATCTGGGAATCCTGGAGGAGTGCTATTGCTGATCTTGTTATCCAAGAAAATGTGCAAAATCAGTGCAGGGACATGCCATAGAATATGTTATGCCAAGAGAAGAGCATGAAACTACCAATTTGATGTATTACAACATCTTCAAATCATTTTCCAGTTACACTGTCAGTGTACAGGCAAGATTCACTGTAGGGGTCTGAGATGAGGCTATATTTAATGTCTGCTATCTAGAGGTGTCCCAAAGCATGTTTGTGGTATGTAGCAGGAGGGGTATCAGTTTCTGTGCTCATCTATTATCCCTCCACCCAGGGTTTGCACCAGCAGTACATTGTCACTAATCTTGGTGCATCTGCTGGCTCACAAAACCCCATTAAACAGCTAGAGCACTTTGATGAGGTTACTGACTTAATACTTTGTGACATAATTAAATTGAGTATTTAATCTGGCCATGGGAGTGGAATAGACCTAGACCCCCGCCGGGCATGGCAAGCATTCACATATCAAGCCTGGCCTTCCAAACAACTTCTTCTTTGATCCCTTTTGGGGCAATCGTCCTCTAGAAAATGTCCAACAGAACAAACTTCCTGTCAGATGACTGCACCTTTGTGTCTGTCATAACCCACAAAAGCAATGAAGTGCTTTCAAAAGTTATATACTGTGGGATAAAGGTTGTTGTACAGTTGAAAAGAGAATCAAATGACATCCAACCCTGTGTGAAGGCAAATATATTAATAGCCCTTATAAATGTACGCACTTAAAGGCGGGGTACAAAAGCTTCCCATCAATTAGAACAGCAAATCTCCATAATCGCTGATAAGCTTCACACTTTCCAACAGTCCCCACTTGAAGGCAGTTAAAGTGTAGCAATCACACAAAAAATGCCAGAAGTAGAGGAGTGAAGAAGGGAAAAGGAAAGTTTCCACAGTTTGTCAACTCTACAATGGACAACTGCTGCATACTGGAGACCTGCTTGCTAAGATACATTTTTTCATAAGTGTCTGAATTTGACAAGCATGTCTATTTTGCAGCACCCAACCCCCACCAGGTTTACATTAGTAATGACTGCCAATCACTGCAAAGTTACTGCTGCCGCTGCAGTGTCATTGGGTTGCAGTTATGACGACAGCTATCTGCTCTCAGATTTTTCTACTGCTCTGCAACAAGTTCGTCAAAATTCATCAACCAATCTTTCTATGCAACAACATATCTGAGTAAAAGCACACAGTCCGAGCACAAGCAGAGCAAATCTAAGCAAATGAAGGGACTATTTGAGTGAGGGCATTACAAAATCTGAACATGGAGCGGCTGTGGCTGAGCGGTAGAGCGGTCGTCCTCCTACCTTGGGCAAGATGCTGAACCCTGAATTGCCCCTCATAGAACAAAAAAGTGCTGATAATAGATGCACTGCATGAATGTGTGTGTGAATGGGTGAATGGCAAACTGTACTGCAAAGCGCTTTGAGTGGTCATCAAGACTAGAAAAGCTCTATATAAATACAACCATTAAACCATTTACCATGAGATCAGTCATTTCTGCTCAAAAACTGAAACACCATGTTGTTGAATAAAGATGGGGAAAAAACCCATATGAGACGTCATGACTGACGGCTGAAACTGGCCTGTGATTGGTCCGACAGTTACCTGGATACCAGGGCTCCACCCCATGATCTCTACAGTGCCAACTCTGGCCACACATGGCATCACTAACACAATATGGTAGAGCCTGAATCGTTGGTCTGAGCCGACTGCACAGCATTCAGACACTTTATCAACTCCCGAGCTGATGATCTAGTGCCATAACCAGACCGTCATAGTTTATCAAACCCTCAGTCTGTCCTTGACGCCTCCCCACCTGTTCATTAACAGACTGACAACATAAATGTCACAGCCAACGCTGAGCCACACGAATCACGAGTGATCCCTTATTTCAAATCCTCACTTCGGTGGATGACAGGAGTTGAATTAGTTGGCTTTTAAGACATTTGTTTGTCTGAGAGCTGTGTGATGATTGAAGACTTTAACACCACATGCCCCCTGCAGTCCCTCCACAGCTGCCACACACACACTAAACAAGGCCAGCCTGCACCCACTCCTTCACCTTTTGACCTTTGGCGCCTTGACTACAACAGAATTTGTGAGGTGAGTCTTGTTTATTGGAGAAGTACTTTAACACCTCTGTGGTCACAAGTCCTCTCCATGAAACGTCTGCTGATTATTAGTTTAGTGTCATAATTAGTTTATGCAAGAAGTCAGCTCAATGTAAGGTTGAAATATCTCTAGAAATCCAATCATTCCAACCTTTTAAGTTTTCCTCTTAAGTTGAATTACTTCACTGATACAACAAAAAAGAAGAAAAAATAAACAACTGATCCTGAAATTCATGTCAGTGATAATTTCCCTTGAAATGCTTTGTCTGCATGTTATCTTAACTGAAATGACAGAAACAACAAATATCTTAACCTGAAAAGGTTTCTGTTTTCCTTTTCCTGTCACAGCAGGCCAAGCCTTTTAAGGTCAAAGAAGTAAACCGTAATGATGGCATTTATTCACAGTGTCAAAGGTCAATCTGCAAGTCCAGACAGCTCTGGGTCCTGGTGTCTGACTTTACCCAGGCACAAGACAAGTACGAGAACATGCTGGCTACCATTCAGCTAATAAACAAACAGTCATTCATTTCAGGGGCAATGAAAACAATAAGTCTCAGCAACTCCATTTAAACATTCTTCATAGTTGCATTCACTATAGTAATCTGACATGAACCACAACTTTAACCGGGGGAAGCAATGAGCAGCTTTATCTATATTTTTCACACTTGATCTATGTTTAGTAGCTGAGGTTTTCCCTGTATAAGTACACACCACAAATTGAACCAGGTTACAATGCTCCCAAAGGACCTTTGCCTTCACTTCCCACTGCTTCTAATGTGTTGGTTGGTCTTACATGTTTTTATAAATGTTAAAATTAAAATAATTAAGTGAAAACCTGAAAAACGAGTCCCATTAAGAAGTGCAGACAATCATGTGATTGAATCCAAATAAATGAGCAATCATCATCAGGAGGGGATGTTCAATCTCATTTCCTGGCTTATACTAAGCCATCAATTATATTATGAGGCAATGGGAGCAGATGGCAGGGGGTGAAGAAGGCACAACACAGTGAGGTGTGGTCAAAATCTCCACACACACTCAGCCGAATCAAATATTTAACAAGTTACTGAGTTAATAAAAGTAGCATTTGACCTATAACTACAGAAAGTATGCTTATCAGTCAGTGTGACTCCCTAAGGATGATGCTCACACCAACTCTCTTTATATGGGGTTGATGCAGCTGAATAAACAAGACTTTGTGAATGTGCAGACAGCATCATCACATAGTTTCTGTCCTCAGCTGCTGTTTCTGACTCATATTGCACAGTTATGTTCCATGAGCAGAACAGCCACTAGAAAGAGGAGCAATGACGGTTTTTAAAAGTACTAATACAGACTGCAATGAAATGCACGACATGTTTCTGGGTTGTTGGGCTTCACTGGCGATGCAGAAATAACAACTTTAAAAGACTTAAGACACATTTTTTTAGAACTGGCTGACTTTTCCTCACAGAATATCAATCGGCCCATAAAGCAAACCGTGCTGGGGGTTGCAGCGAATAATAGAACATGTAGAAAACATTTAGCTCTCGAGATAAAATGTAAAGAAATGAAGACAGAAATAAATCCGTGACGCGGTGCACCACAGACATGAGTTAACTGCTTTCTGAACTATTCCTGCGAGTTAAGCAACACTGTGCTTTCCGAGACTTCGCTGGTTTGCGCCACTGATGAAAAGTGTTGTTTATTTCAACACAATTCAATTATTGAAAATAGTCATTAGACTCATTAGAGCGCAGGAGCGACGACGTCCGGAGGATGGATTCAGGGAGACGCGAGCAAACTCCCAACGCTGAGCCACCGGTGGGGCTAACCTGTTAGAAGCTAAGGCGGCTAATATCAACCTGCGCGTCCACACTTTCTAATAAAACACAAGCCCGGGTGAGAACAGCGTGGAAGTGGGTGAGGGTCAAAGGAACACGCGCACAAAATGTGCTGGGAGTGAAAACTTGTCCCAGCAGCAGAGGCGGAGGGACCGGGAGGGACCGGGAGGGAGGCAAGTGTGGAGACGTACTTTAAAGTGGAATGAAGACAGAGGACTGCACACAGCCCGCAGTGCCACTCACCTTACCCGGTGTACGACTCTCCAGCCGGGGGCAGAACACGCAGCTCCTCGGTACCAGCGTGCAAACACGTTTCCACTGGTTTCATTCAGCGCCCGCAATTAGTCCCGCGTCCGGCGACGGTACAACGTTATCCCTGGAGGTCAGGAGATCACTGTCCTCTGCGGCTCCGCGCAAACTTGGGAATGTTGCTCCCGGGCATCAAACTTCCAGTGGCGCACACACCGCACTGCCTGTTGGACATGAAGCAGTGGAGTTATTCCTGGGTGAGCGTCCTCCGCTCGGTTCCTCTCGGTAGTAGGAGCAGGAGCAGTAGGAGGAGGAGGAGGAGGTGTCGGAGTCTCCACATGTGGCCGCTCTCTGGCTCACTGCTGCGTTCACTGACCCTTCACAGGCGGGATATAATGCTGCCTTCACATGCTGCTCGGATTTTTTTATTACGACGCTCAGACGTGTGGCGACTGTGAAACCGTGGCGCATTCAATATCCTAAAGCAAAATGTATGGCCCATAGATGGACCCGCTGCTACCGGAATCAATTTCAATCCACTTTAGATTTATGCGCTAAATCGCAACATACATTATCTCATTACCTTTTAAATGATAGATAAACAAAACAGTTCCCAAAACGAGCAACACTTTGCGCTTGTGGAGAGAAATAAGCTAATTCAATGGAAGAAACCTCGAGCTGAATCTAAACTAGAATCTGCCTCGAACAGAAAAGTTTAAACAAGTGTTAATAGATGTTATTAAGGAGAAATTGGAACTCGTCTCTCCCTACACACAGAGACGAGAAAAAAGAAGTTAAACTGCAGCAAGTGAGCAACATATGCACAGAGGCCTGGGCTCTCAAGTGGATCAGACTATTAAAGATCACAGACTGTTACACTTGTTAAGTATTAACTGAAACCATGTCACGTTAGATCCAGCATTTCCCCCAGAGCATGAAGCCAGCATTACCGCTGTAGGAATGACTGGTGAGTGGGAGACCCCTACCGGCCAAGAGGAGACATGCAACCTGTCCATCTGCTGACCTCACAGACCTGTTCAGTTCATCAGCATTACAGTTTTGACTGAAGGAGCAAACTCAATGATCGAAAAATGTATTGCTATAAGATTTTATTCATCTTACAAACTAATGTTGGGAGGGCACGGACCACCCTTTAGAGTTTTCATACCCTACATACTGCAAACATAGTAGTACACATTGCATTTTGGGTTATTTCAATCACATACGTTATTATACAATTTGTGTGTTTCTTATTCACCTGGGTAATTTACAAACTAAACTATATATTTCATTAGGAATAATTCGACAGCATGCACGCTTGCAGTATTCATTTTACTGTTAAATACGACATTTAGAGCACTTTAATTAGTATTGTATCAATGAATTAGTTGTTTAGTTCTACCTGCCATTGTTTCACAAAGGACAGGTATAGGTGTAAGTTGTAGCCCGCTTATTACCCACAACCCAGAGGAACTGGAGCACGCTACAAACCAAGAAAAGAGGTTTACAAGGCTACACTGTATGTGTACTGCAGTCACCTAATACATAAGTTAATAGCTGCGATTTCCTTGCTATTTTAAAGTGAGCGGGCGTCTGCAACTATAATGAAGCGTGAAATAAGCATCCATAAAGCATTACGCTGGTATGACTGGAACTGATGGAACTGAAGCTCTGTGTACTTCCTGTGCTCGGTGATGTTGTTCAGGGCCCAGACGTCTTGCACGTTTCCATTTACAAGAAACATGTCATGCTCTGAGACATCAGGTGCATTTCAATGGAGGCCACACACAGATTACAAAAGCTGCTGCACACTATTCTCATCTTTAAAGAGGCTCTCTCTTTTGGAAGAGTGAGGCATTCGCTTGAGAAAAATGAATGTTTCTAATTCCACTCTTGTTTTTTTTAATCTACCAGGATTTTTTTTATTTTGTTTGACTCTTAAGCGTGGCTGATGTTGGACAGAAAACTTTGTTGGAATTCTGAGACTTTAAAGTAGTTATTTCAAAATCTTGTTTTCACAAGTGAATGCATCGAGCCTCTGTGCTCCCCCGCTATCTCTGTTCCCTCTCCTAACAAGAGGGGACAAAGATAGAGAGGGAGAGAGGGCCTATTAACTCCCCCCCTTAATTCTCCTGTAGGACAGAAGCTAGATAAGCTTCGCTCACTTCACAGATCACTCAGCCCCAAACCTACCCCCAGCCCCCCACCCCCCACCCAGTTCAAAGACAAGAACACAAGGGTTATCTTGGCTGTCACAATATACTCCATAATACATTGATACATATCAGTATATACTGCAATGAAAAGAGTTGTTAAAAATCATGAATTATTTGTTTGATACTTTGTTTATTACATCATATTCAGTTGTTTATTCAAGGCAGAGCACCAGAAATAATACTGGCTGTCAATGCAACAAAATGGCAACAAATTAAAAGTTGTAAGAACTCCATCTTAAAGCCATGTGAAAAAAAATTGACATGCTAAGAACATGGTATGTGAGTGAAGAATCTTTTGAAGTTGATAGTACTGCAACACCCAGGAATTCTAGGGGCACCCTCTCAGTCCTCCTTGTTGCTGTTTGTGTGTATGTTTCAGAGCACAGGCCTGAATTCATAGCAGGGTGACAAAGAACTGAGTTGGAAAGTGAAAAAGCAGAGTGTGAATGAGCATGCCTGTCTGTCAGCAGCAACACACTGCATTCATGTCCCTGTGAGAAACACTGAGCCATTCATCCCCAGAGTTCACACACACACACACACACACACACACACACACACTGCTCTTGGTTATTCTGGGAACCAACTTGTCTTCAGAGGGTAGCTGGGCTGGCTGGCTGTATTAGCTGATGGATAGTTAGAGGGGGGTGCAGGACTACTTTTTCTATATTTATTTCCATATGGCCAAACCCAGACAGACCCTTCAGTCTCTGCTCGATGTGCTTTAATGCAAAACTGATGGGATTAAAAAATCAGCTATACTTCAAAAACCCTTTCAGTTTTCTTCCTTCACCATAGGTTAATGGAGGATCTTTTTTTGGGGGGGGGGGGTTAAAAGCAAGGAGCTGGTTCCTACTGGTTCCTATTTGAAGCATAGCATTTTATTCCACAACTGAATGATTCAAGAGTCCTAGAGGTGTAAACATATTCCATGCTTTTGTCAAGGGATTTCTAGCAGCACCACTGAGACAAGAATATTGCCAAAGTGCAGTGGACGTTATTATTCAATTCAGTGTCAGCTGAACAGATTATTTATTCATTTATTTAATTGTGTATTGCAGTGATTCTTGTGGAGTGGATAAATGACTTGTGAAGTCCCTAACATGGAGCATGCCATTGTTAGACCCCTGTAGCAAACACAGATCAGTCAGCAGCTTCCATTATTCATGAATCCATATGAAGTCCAAGATAACAGCTGTACAAACTATCTCCTCACAAGGGATTTTATTTCAAATGTGACTGATGTGATGTGTTATATGCAGCTTTTCTTGATCAAGTGGTCAGAATAAAATCAACGTCCATAAGAGAGAAATTCAAACCATCAATAGCTGCAGATCTTTAATGAGGAATGATACAATTATTATTATCAATTACTGTTAGTGTGTGTCTGCATGTTGTCTGTGATATATGGGCCATGTCATTTAGAGAAACAGCCTTGAAGGGATTGTCTGTTTTCACTGTAAATAAATCAAGTGTTGAGCCACTGAAAGTAACTGAACTCTGCTGATTGGCTTCCAGACATCCTGCAAACCATTAGAGGCCCACCCCATTTGTTTATCTGTCAGCAGGGTATCTCCTAAAAAGGTGTAATGAAATTGGTTCATAAGTTCAACCAGGGGCCAGTGATGAAATGAACTGTATTTTGATGAGATTCCAGATCCAATAGTGCCACCTAGTGGCGCTTGTAGAACATATAACTCATATTCCTCTTACTGCTCAAGACAGGTCTTCTAATGAGACAGCTTCATACAGACTTATTAATATTTTTAATGTTTGATGAAAAACATTGTGATCATTTAAAGTTCATCCAGCCTTTCCTTTAGTATGAACATAACATAAACGGTCATATTTGACAACATATCTTAGTGGTTATGATTCCGATTGTTTAAGTTGTTTCACATCAGAGATTCTGATTTGTTATTATACACAAATTAATTATACATAACTGCTTATTAACACTAACTCCAAGGTCCATATTGTGCATGCAGGGCCTGGGTAGAATAGATCATCATGAGGTCAAGGGAATAGCTGGATGGATCAAACGACCCAATAGTTGACCTTGAAGAAGAAGATATATACACTTTTCCAGAGTCTGACAAAGGAACAGTTTAACACATTCCAAACAGTTTACAAGTATGCATGGCAGAATTTATGTTAAACCTGTGATTTGTTCAGATTCCACCATAGTAAACTAAATCAGGTTAACTTCCCCATCTGTGAAGAGGTGTCATTTTCATCACATACCATCACATGTACAGTAGCTGTCAAAGAATATGAGGTTGTGGAGAAACTGGCTAAAAAAGCTTGAAACAAAAAGGATAACAACATTTTAGTATTTAGTTTTAGGAGATCAGAAGAAGAAAAAATACATATTCATCACAGAATAATGTCACCAGTGCAAAATCTGGGTTGACGATGGTAAAGGAAGTGAGAAGCAATGATGAAGGAAGATGTTTGGGACTCATTGTCGGAATATATTACAAAGACAAGACAGTTTCAGATGAATGCTTCAACTTGTAAGTACAGTATACAGTATAGTGAAATGGTTTAGGGAAACAGTGCATACAGATGGGTTGTAGGAACTAAATGAGTGAAAGAGAAAGAGTAATGACAAGGTGCCAGGTATGAGAAGGAAAGGAAAGAAGGAACTGTCTAAGGTTCAGTAGTAGTTTTTTCTTACTCTTGTTGAGGGTTAAGGGGAGAGGTTGTCACACCTTGTTAAAGCCCTATGAGACAAATTGTGATTTGTGAATATGGGCACAATATATAATAATATATAAATAAACAATCCTACACATGATTGTCTAGTTCTTATTGTAGAAACATAGAGAAGAAAGGAAGTCGTCTGATAATCAAAATTATTTATTTCTCAAAAAAAAAAAAAATCCTGGATCAGCTAAGTTTGGACGAAATCAATTTAAGAGTTTTTGTACAACACAAACAAAAGAACAAACACAGACTAAAACATAACTAATAAATATCTAATGTCTGATATGCAAAAATATAAACTAGTGGTAAAATATAGAGTTGCACTTTAAAGCAAAGAATGGGACATTTATTCCTGTGACGAATTTTGGAGACTCAGGTTCAATACTGATTCTAATGAATATGCATTCTGTAAAACAGACAATATTTGATAATCACCCCAAGAGTCTGTATATTTTGAAAATAAATGTCACTTTATTCAGATTCTTTCAAACTGGAGAAGCCCTACTATTATATAGATATTTGCCAGCAGTATATTTTAATTAGTTCCCAGACAGAGGAGGAATCAGATTCAATTCACATTTTAATTTGATCTCTTTACTTTTTTCATGTATTTTTCTTTGGAATGGTCTCACTTAGGATGTCTGTGTTTGTGCTGAATTGTGTATATTTAGATTGAATTAGCTCAGCCTTGTATTATTGTAAAGCAGACGGTAGATGGCGCTAGCACCGTTCCTCTTGGTTTTTGGACCAGTGTTTATACCAAACGCGTGGAAGAAGAACATGCGCGCGATCGAAAAACAGACGTTCACACGCGCGCGCTTCCGTAAAGTAGTGACAAAGATGGCGGCCGCCGCCGGATCAGGTAGGAAGACTTCAGCCACAGTTGAGTCAGGATCGTTTCCTGCTCAGATCTGAAGAATGAGCTTTTCTTAAATGTCACGTTAGCTGCTCGGTGGTTTCATAGTGTACACGAGAGCAGCTGTAGTGCGGCTGTGACCGGATCAGGAGCAGAAAGTGCTGCCATTAGTGACGGCAGCTAGCTGATGGGGCTGGCTAAAGCTGGCCCACAGTGCACTGTCTGCAGCAGCAGCAGCCGCTGTGGACCAGTGTGCAGCCCACCCCCGCCACAGACACACGGTGCGGGGACCGAGTCCGCTCCAGAGGTCGCGTTCCTCCGCTGTGTGTTGTTGTGTTCACCCGCCGGCAGCTCGACGAGCGGAGAATCTGACCGCTGAGGTGACGCTAGCTGTCCGGGGGGAGCCCAGGCTCTCGGGGGGGGGGGGTTAGCATGACCGGCTGTGTTATTGTCAACACGCTGTGTGACAACACAAACCCAGTCGTGCGGCGGATGTAAACATCTTCACCTCCGTGTTTGACATCGAGAAGTTCAGAAGGAGAAACTTCCTCATCATCCACCAGCGACGTAGTGTCTCGCTCTTGTTAGCCCGAAGCTAACGTTATCGCTTATAGCTTGGTGGATCCGGTCATGAAACACTATTCCAAACACGAAGAGCCTGTGTGTTTAAACCATCAGTGGAACCTGTTGCTCCGTTTTATCTTGTGTTTTGTAGAACTGTCTTAGTGTGGAAATGTCTTGGACCTTGTTGTTTGTTTCCCAGCTGTCAAGAGCTAACACATCCCATCCACACAGGAATGTCAACCCTTGAATTGAACTGAATAGCTATCCATTATAATGCCATCCTGTGTCAAGTGCTATCTTGTATTTTTTTGTAGAATATATTAATAATCTTATCATTGTCTATTTGGATACATACGATAACGTTTTTCAATGTACAAGTTATTCTATCCTATTTTTAAAAGAAGGTAGATTATACTGGGTCACAATGAGAGTCACAGACAGATATATGAACATATAAAGAGGATACAGCCTTATCATTCCAGTGTTGTTTTAGTAACACTTTACTTTAGCTCTGCCTGGCCTCAGCATTTTGTTCAGGGACATTATTGCGTTAGGCACAACTTTGTTTTCTCTGCGTGCAATCAGATACAAGTCGTTTAATCCTGCTCTTGTGTTTCTTTGTGCGTCTGTCTGCCTGTGTGAAGGCGTCGCAGTTCCTCGCAGTTTTCGTTTGCTGGAGGAACTGGAGGAGGGTCAGAAGGGCGGTGGAGACGGCACAGTGAGCTGGGGCCTTGTGGATGATGCCGACATGTCACTGACTTACTGGGATGGCATGATCATTGGCCCTCCCAAGGTGAGCCACCCTAGTTCTTAGAGTAAGTGTTATTATGATCCATAACGCTGCCAATCTTCAGTTGCCCAGAAGCATGCAGCTTTGTTTTAGATTGAAGAACTGAAAGAAATGCAGGGTTTTCTCTATCTGCATTTCATGACTTATGCACAGTGCCAAAACTTAACAGTCTTTACTTTTCTGGAGAGAAACAATACCACTAACAACAATATTATATAATATTTAGTTTATTCAAAGTTAGGTTTAAAAATGGGGTTGACTTTTAGGACAACTCTATTCGTCTATTACAGAGTGGTGCATGGTTATCTTTAAACTCAGTGTTTCTAGGCTACCACGTGTTTTTGAGTGTATCCTGAGATTTTTCCAGTGTTAATCAAACGTCAAAGTCTTTGTCCAGTATAGTATAGTCTCTGAATGCTGCTCTAACATGTTCTGCCACAGAGGAAATAAACTCATGACGAGTGAAAACAAGTTCTCTGCCTCTGCTGACGTCTTCACTGAAGAAATCAACCGGAGAGAAAAATCTGTCCTTCAGCTAACTAGCAAAAACTGAAGTCTCTCTTTGTTGCCTTTGAAACAAAGACAGAAGGGACCATGTGGCACCTGGCAGCACTGATAAAAGTTGAAAAATAGAAAATGTTGGATGCTCCCCAAATGCTGCAGCCTTGGTTTTGTCCTCAATGAATAAAGCTCTCTCTATTTAAAACAGTGGAGGAAGGTGTGTGTTACCATGTGCTAGTGAATCACTGTGTTGCCAACAGCATATCAAACAGAGGCTGCGTTATGTTAAGCTGCGTGGGTGTGCTGCCCTCACAGTAAAACAAACAAGGGCAAGGAAATCCTCTTCTAGTTGCAGGTGTGACGCTGAATCACCATCCAATTATGACCTGTACTGTAGTCAACAGATCAATATCCGGTCAGACGACTTTTTTCAACTTGTGTATGCCAAACATGCAGCTTTCATTCAGGTCTAACTTTAAATTAAGCAGCTCTTTGTACTTACCTATTGATAAAGAGCACGAAGAGGCTTAATCTTACTGCTGCAGTTAAGTGGTTAGACGAGGAGCAGTAGACAGGGACTGTTTGCAAATCATCAAGGTAAACATGATCTGTTTTTGTGGTGTTGCTATTAGTACAACACAGTGCAAGTATGTCAACTGTGTAAATACTATGAACATTTATAATTTCCCTCTCAACCCATATTATTTTTTTTCATGCAAAAGTTAGGAACTTCTGAACATTATATTTTCGTGTTGTATCGTTCTCCCTGCAGAAATGTAACATTCTTTTTTAACACATAATAATGTCAGAGGTGATGATGTTCTAGATGCTGGAGACGTGATATATATGGGCGGGATAACAACCTGACATGTTGTAGTCTGCTGTCAAATGCAAAAGGAAGAAGGACCTACATGTGTAGGAGACGAGCTGTTGTTGGAGCAATTTGAAACAATTCTGAAACACAACCTAATGTTTCCCGTGTACAATGGCACACGCTTGCTTAATGTACGTGTTCACATATTTTTTCAGTTGCTAGTATGGACGGGGATTCAAACAACGATATGGAGCCAAAACGCTAATGTGGACAGAGATCGTTTTAGTTTGAGTTTAAGTAAATTATAATGGGTGAAGAAGTGATGGCCACTACATACAATCAGAAGCTTCTGGACTAACCTGGCTCTCATTTTTTGACTTGCAGACCGTCTATGAAAACAGGATATACTGTCTGAAAATAGAATGTGGACCCAGATACCCAGAGCATGCCCCTGTGGTCCGCTTTGTGAACAAGATCAACCTGACCGGTATAAACAGTTCAACTGGTGCGGTGAGTATCTGAGCTTCATCACACATACGCTCCACTTAATCCAAACTGTAGGTTAGATCATTGCAAGTGTTTTTTGATATATTTAGAATTGAATTAGGCCTTTACAGAACTCTCACAAACAAAAAACAAATCTGCTGCTGCCTGTTTAATTTAACCGACCTCTACCTTCAGTCAGAATTTACCTCCCGCTCACACCTGGTATGAACATCAGATCTCACGTTCCTGCTTTACACAAAAATAAACCACATCAACTTCATTGTTGCAGAAGCAGCGACACCCATTTATCCAGGAACATGAATGTGAATTCAGCAGCTTTTTATAGAGATCATTTCTGAGTAATGAGTAATAAGTCCGAGTATGAGTAATTAGAAAACATCAGAGGAGCAGAATATAATCAGTTTGCAGTGTTGATCACCTAATATCGCAACAAACAAATCCATGTATGGGCAGTGAGAAGCTTAAAAAGACCACATTCACACCTGTACTTAGGGTTGTTCACTTGTGATTGGTTCACTCAGGACAGAAGTCATTACCAGGTCTGAGCAGGGCCGGAATGACACAACCTGTATTTTTTAGGTGTTTCTGTCAACTTTGATTTATTAAAAACTGTTATTACCTAGTTGTAATTTACATTTCTTTTTCTTGTCCATTTTAAGTATGTAACTTAAACATGAGGTTGCAAAGTGTTTTTTTTTTTTTCATTTAATAAAATAGCACCCCACCCTCTGCCACTTGTTCTCCTTGCAGGTGGAGACAAAGGCGATGGCAATGCTGTCCAAGTGGAGCAACACCTACAATATCCGCATGGTGCTGCAGGAGCTGCGACAGCACATGATGATGAAAGAGAACAACAGGCTCTCCCAGCCACCGGAGAGCCAGGTGTACAACAACTGAGGCTCCTGGCTCTCTCTCTCTCTCTCTCTCTCTC